TGTTGTTGGGGGCAATATGCTGACTCTATAAACCGCTTAGAGAGGGCTGAAAGCCCTATGAAGCGGTATATAAGTCTAACTGCTATTGCTATTGCCTAAAGAAATTGCTTGATTTTTCTCCCCTCCCCCCCCAAAATTGCTTAAATAATTGAGGGGGGGATAAGCAATTTCTATAAACAAACTCTCTTGTGCCTGACCTGTTTTTTCCTCCCCACAATGTAGAGATTGGAGTGAAAGGGATTACAAAAGAGTAAGCAAGTACACAATGGGGAATATATCAGACTGTTTGCACAATGTGCTTGCTCCCTGCGCTGAGCATGCTTGTGGCGGTCAGCAACATTGAATTCATTTTGATATGTATTACTCATTTTTAACAGAAATGAGTTGTAACCTTACATGAAACAAATAAATTAGCATTCACCGCAACAACTATTCCCTCAGGTTCCTATATACCTGTACTTTTTAGAAGCAAATCCTATTGAACTCAATAGGTTTTCTGAACAGCTTACTCTCTTCTAATCTCCTTTTCTCTAATGAAGGTAAACATAAACTTTAATTCTCTTACTAATCATGCCAGCATTTGGGTGAGCTTTTCAAAATATGGAGGAGTGGGAAAGGAAAGCTCAGTTGCAGTCACATGATTTCCCATATAGGGGAAAATTATTTATTTAATGACAGAGTTGCTGGTTCCAATTGTGGTTGCTAAATGAGGACCACCTGTATATAACAAGCAGGTGATTATCACTGACTTCAGCAGCTTCCACAAATCTAATATTTGTTTTAACTTTTAAGCAAATATATAAACACTCATTTACACCTTGGTAGGGGTAATAATGATATGAAAAGCTGGATTTTTGTTAAATCAGTTGCAATTCTGAACTTTTGTGTCAATAAGATCCAGATTTCCATACAGTTTCTATTTTTAACAGAAATGAGTTATAACCTTACACGAAACAAATACATTAGCATTCACCGCAACAACTATTCCCTCAGGTTCGTATATATCTGTACTTTTTAGAAGCAAATCCTATTGAACTCAAAAGGTTTTCTGAACAGCTTATATACAAACAACTGGACACTGTCTGTAGATCCTGCAAATAAACATTTCATTGATAAAACATCTGCTTGTTTCATTTTATATGCTAAGTGAACATTTAGTTCATATTCTGTACAACACGTTAGAACTGAATTAAATCAGCAGTGTCAATACTACATAGATGTTTATTACAGCTTCTTATTAAATCTTCAAGAAATGCAGAATGGTATATTGGATTTTAAAAAATTATTCTAGTAGAGGAGTGATGACATTTTGTTGGTTTATGGTTTACATTTAAGTATTTTTATGCCTATAACATAATTATCAAATTATGTAACAAACCTTTCATTGACTATATCTGTACTCTATTTCTTAGCTAGAATGTATCTAAGAATTGGGAATGGAGTATGCACCAATTTTCAATTTTAGGTAGAAAGTTTTTTTAAAAAAAGTAAACATGACTATATTTACTTGGGAGCGTGTCCCACTTAGGCACAGAGAGAATTGCACTGAAAAAGATTCATATTTGATAAATGTTAACATTTTTGAAAGAAATCCAGAAACCACTTATCGTTGCACCATATGTTTTCAGTTTAATGCAAAAGAGTTTTTGCCAATGCTGGCGTCTCCTCCAATTCTTCTCTTTGCATTCATCTTTTTTTTTAATTACCTGTGGCGGAAGTGAGGATCTATTTGCCAACTTTGTTTCCTTTCCATTCTAGATGCTACACCTCACAGACCGTTATCTCATTCAGCCCTCTCTTCTGAGCAGACAGTGCCAGGATTGGCTATTAGTAAAATTAAATTAACTGCATTTAGTGTGGTGTATAAGAGGTATTATGCAATTTTAGAGGAACAGGTGAGCAGGATTCTTTTATGATTGGGAGCTGGGCAGCAGCTGCAGCACTATCAAAATTTGCAGCATTCCCCCCCCCCTTTAATGGAATTAGGGAAAAGAATATTTTCTCAGGCATTAAAAAACAAAACCCAAGTGGCAGAATCTGTTTTTTTTAAGGCAACATTTGACTTTTACCCACACCCACTCCTATTATTTCATCGGGCTAATTTTTTTACGATGAAAGCCCCAGAGGGCATCCGTTAGTTTTGTGGTTGGTTGTTATTTTTGAAAGCTTAGATGCTGTAATACTAGAGCCGGCACATTCTCCTCCTTAGTGATAGCAGCTGTCGGTATATGGGGGGTTGGGGTTGGCGATGCCTGAAGAAGAAGAAGAAGGGGGGAAAACTGTGGTACAACCGAGGGGCTTGCACGGCTCATTGGCTCTGTGTAGCGGTACCCTTTGTCGCCGCCGTCGCCTTTGGCGTTGGAGAGCGAAATGGAGGTGCAAAATCAGGCGGGGTGTGGGAAAAGAAAACGAGGGACAGGCGGGGCTGAAACATAAGGTCTGCAGATCACCGCATGCATTAACTCACACCCGGCGCCTGAGCCGCCTTCAGCTGCCGCTATTCCCGCCTCGCTACAGTGCCCAACCAGCATCGTCAACTCCCGCCTCCCGCTTATAGCATGAGGAGGGGAAAAATTGCCCCGAGAGCGCCGTCCCCCTCGGGCTGAAGAGCAGGGAGCACAGAAGGCAAGGTGGATTATTACATGCCTGCATTTCTCTAGTTCTCAATCTCGGAGGAGGAGGAAGAGGGGGGGGGGATAACAAACCAAAACAACAACAAAAAACCTGCGAGGGGGAAAAAAGGGAGAAAATAATTGCCAAGCCTGCTCAGGAAGGATCTTTCTCTCTCCCCCCCGCCTCCCCCCCCCCACACTCAGTTTCTGGCTTGTCGCCCGGGGATCGAACTGCCCTTGGAAATTTATGAGCAGCAAAAGAAGCCACGAGATATGGCAATCCGTTGAAGAGCCGTAGCTGTCCCCCGCCTCGGTTGAAAGGCAGGCTAAGGAGACCCCTGCACACACGCACGCCCTCTCCCGGAGCCCGCCAGGGGCCAGCCGCGCCAATGCCGACCCGCACCCGCAAGTCCTCGGGCGCAATGAGGCAGCCGCTCGCCGCCCAAGGTTGACGCTGTGGCGGCGGCTTTTCCTCTGCTTGGGGGGCTCCTTCGCATCTTCCTCCTCCTGCTGCTGCTGCTGTTGTCAAAGGAGGGCGCCGGCGGTTAGGCGCGGAACCGGCTAGGAGGCATGAAGGGCGCTACGGTGAAGCCGGCGCTGTAATTCCCCGCTGGGCTGGCTCTTCTTTGGGCTTCTTGGCAGGAGAAGGGAGCGCCCGACGAGCTCTGCCCAGCGATGCCTTTGTGCGATGCCCGCTCCTCGCTGAGGAGACGAATCGGCGCCCGAAGGCGGCTGCTGCCCGTCTGACCGACTGCGGCTACTTTGCGCGGCGACCAGCCTGTTTTCCTCTCCTCCGGGCCACCTTTCTGAACTTCCAGGGATGGCCGGTTGATGTGCCCAGGAAGGTAACGCCGAATGGGGCTTCTCTAACGCGGGCTCGTCCTTGCTCCGAGCGGGAAGGAGCATCCCGGAAGGCTTGCCCTCTCGAGCAAAAGGCAAGCAGGCTGGTTGGCCCCGAAGAACCAGGAGAATTTTGAAAACCGGGGGAGGGAGGGAGCTCCAAAGTTAAAGAGGGAAGGGGAGAAGGGGGGGAGGAAAGAGGGAAGAGAGAGAACAGAAGGGAGGGGAAGGGTTAGAAGGGAAAGGGAAAGGTGAAGCACCATTTCTCACCTCTGGCACACTGCATGTTGGAGACTCTGGCTGCCTTCTTGGTCTTGGAGACCCTGGCCGCCCTCTTGGTATTATGTCTGCACTTCGAAGGAAATTTGGGGACGATTATCAAGTAGTGACCACCTCGTCCAGTGGGTCAGGCTTCCACCAGCAGCAAGGCTCGGCCCACAAGAAAAAGCGCCAGAGGTTTGTGGACAAGAATGGCAGGTGTAACGTGCAGCATGGCAACCTGGGCAGCGAGACAAGCCGCTATCTGTCGGACTTGTTCACCACCTTGGTGGACCTCAAGTGGCGCTGGAACCTTTTCATCTTTATCCTCACCTACACCGTGGCCTGGCTTTTCATGGCCTCCATGTGGTGGGTCATCGCCTACATACGGGGTGACTTGAACAGAGCCCACGATGAGAAATATACCCCGTGTGTTGCCAACGTCTACAACTTCCCCTCTGCCTTCCTCTTCTTCATAGAGACAGAGGCTACTATTGGGTATGGCTACAGATACATTACAGACAAATGCCCGGAGGGCATCATCCTCTTTCTTTTCCAGTCCATCTTGGGCTCCATTGTGGATGCTTTTCTTATAGGCTGTATGTTTATCAAGATGTCCCAACCTAAAAAACGGGCGGAGACACTGATGTTTAGCGAACATGCTGCCATATCCATGAGGGATGGCAAACTCACCCTCATGTTCAGGGTGGGCAACCTTCGCAACAGCCACATGGTCTCTGCACAAATCCGTTGCAAACTTCTCAAAGTAAGTTCAAGCTTTCTTGCCTTCAGTTCTAATCATATTGACTATTCATCTTTTCTTCATTTTTGTTTTCCAGTTTAAAAGTGCATGGTTCAATACCTTTCTTAACAGGATTTCAGTTAAATTACATACAGTACATGCTTTTCTAACTGCCACCTCATTTTAAAGGGTTTTTTTTAAATTAAAAAATAGAAATGTTAGGAAGCACAAATGAATAAGGTAGGATAGTTGTCAGGAACATTACACAATTCTATGATTGAGGCTGGGTGCAAGGACAAGTTTGATTTTCTTCCCTATATTTTTCAGAGAACTCTTTAGCATATTTCTTGTGCTTGAGTTTTATATTTTCATAGTATTTGCATTGCTATTTCCTATAAGGTAATGTCTCCTGAGGTGCATCTTTCTATGATTCATTTTTCCTTAATCTGTTGCATGCTTCCCTTCTATTTTCTTTTTTAAAATCATGGTTTCCTGCATCTGTGACTCAGTTCCCTTCTTTTTCATTACAGTAGCATTTCCTCAAACTGCTAATGAATTGAAGTTAATTTTTTTATGTAGTCCCCAGCCTTTAAATTAAAGCTTTCTCCATATTTCTGGTTTCTGAATTATAGTCTGAAGTACAATAATTTTACCAGCACAAGTTGTCTTTTTAAATTCTTGATTAAACCACTTGTACTTATTTCTTTTTGCGAAAATCTGTTTTAACAGTACTATTCATCTCCTTTTGTAAATAAAAGGGAAAAGTCATTGCCTTCAAGGGTGTACAGATTGGTGCTGTTTAAATGAACATGACTTTTTAAGGTTCAGCTATTCCATTGGAAATATTGATCATGAAGTGTGTAGGCAGTATGACTGAAGTACTTAGTTCTTTTAAGTTCTGTACATTACATATATTTCTTAAGGTTCAGTATAGTGGACCTTATATTTCTTTCAAGAGCCAGTAAGTTTTAAGTTTAAACATTATTTTGATTGCTGAGATAAACTTGATTCTTAGTCTAAATGTGATCAAATGATATAGTCTCCTGAATGGCTATTATGTACAGTTTATTTAAAGTGCTGTACAGATCTATCACCTGTTGAAACTTGTGTTATAGGTCATAGGTATAATTGTTTAAAAGTAAAACGTTTTAGCAAGGCCAGTTGAGGTTTCAGCTTTGCTGAAACACAATGCTGCCTTATCTCCTGGTTGTGAGGACAACTCTGTGGGTTGACATGCTCCTCCTTCCTGCTGATACATAGGAGATAAATTCTTCTCTTACTTGGAAACACCAGATTGTGTTTTGCAATGATGCCAGCTTCAAACTGCTTTAGACTATACATGGTTAATGTTAACACTGGTGGATATGCTGCTGTGGAAAAAGAGTTTTAAACTAACAAAAAAACACAAATTTTCATTGCAGTTTTGTCACATAGATTATGTTTTCATATTGTAGTATGAAAAATACATTGAAGGGAACCTGGTGTTTCCTCTCTCTTGTTATTACTGTAGTTTTTCTGATTTTTGAAGACCATTGTACTGGAAGATTCTTTTAATAAGCTAAAATACTGTCTTATGCAGAGAAACTCCCTTAGAAATCATAAGAATTCTGGTTGAAACTTACTACATTGTTACTATTTTAAATTAGGGCAAATTCTTTAAGTTAATTCTTTAATTAACTTAATTAAAATTGTATTATATATTCAGCTCAGCTGTCTGGTCCTTTTTTCTTGAGTGAGATATTTAGGAGTTTCGTTTTCTGATAATTAACTCTGACTTCTAAATGTGCTTAGTGACTTATAATGAATAAAGATATAACACTGAGCTGGAAGTCATTAATATACAATGTATGCTTTGTGATAAACAGTAGTTTGGTCAGGAACTCATGCAGTTAGTAAAGTTTACCTTATATTTTGCTGAATAAAGATATATTATTATTTTGAGAAATTAAGGATATTTGTATTCCTCACTTAGCTATACTCCAATATATTTAATGAATGATAGCATAAATCGCATCTTGTCACTTACAACATAATGAAGTCCATAAATTAACATACTCTGTTGTCCTTTGTTTTACAATATTTGCTTATAGAATTTTTAGATACGTTATTATAAATTTTATATAAGGAAATCCCACTAATGTGCAGAGTAGCCATCACCACTAATTTTATCAGTACTTTTAATTTAAAATAAATGATATGCGAAGTATCCTTGTTAGCATTCATATAGTGATTACATTCTAATCTTTTCAAGGCACCAATATATGCACCGTGGAATGGACTTTCTTTATTAGGTTATAACAACTAATTATAAAAACAGATTGCAGATAAATCCCAGCTCTAGGTTTAAATTAATTATTTTCCCCCAGATCAAATTTGCATTGTACATTAATTACTCTACTGGTTTATACATTATGAAGTTGATCTTTTCTATAACTTTTGACATGTCTTTTACATGTGATTTATTTGACCGAGTAAATGAGGCAAATGTGATCAGTTATATAGGAGAACATTGTACCCTACAGAACTATAAAATGTATAAGCATTGTTTAAGCAGTATCACATTTAAATTTATCTTTTAAAAAGCCTCTGTATGTTCTCTTATGCTGTTATGTAACCAAGAAAAGATACGGATTTAGTCTCAAAGCATTATGAATCAGTAATGACATAATATACTGCCTCTATTTTATATAATGCAGTTAGAATATAAAGTATGTTCCTTAAAATGAAGCAGTACGTGCATAAAATGACTTGCTTGCTATTTGTGAATGCTGAACTATTCCTATAGTACAGCATACCAATTCAGAAAAATAATACTAATGACAATTGGGGTATCAAAGCTAATTTCATAATATGTGACTGACTTTTGGTAAGAGGAAAGTCTAGATCTGAAAAAAATATGGGAAATTTATTCAGGGGGTGGGTGAGGCTTACCAAAAAGAACAAGGAGTTTGTGATGTGTGTACAGATAGTTCTCGACTTACAACAGTTCATTTAGTGACCACTCAAAGTTACAACAGCACTGAAAAAAGTGACTTATTACCATTTTTGTAGCATCCCCATGATCATGTGATCAAAATTCAGATGCTTGGCAACTGGTTCATACTTATGACCATTGCTGTGTCCCAAGGTCATGTGATCACTTTTGCAACCTTTTGACAAGCCAATTCAGTGGGGAAGCCTGATTCAATTAACAACCAGGTTGCTAATTTATCAAGTGATTCACTTAACAACTGTGATAAGAATGGTCGTAAGATGAGACAATAACCTATCTCTCTCAGTATATTTGTAAATAAATATATGGAGAGAGATAGGACTATGAGAATAGTTTTCCCCTTAATTTTAATGCATTTCTGTTTTCTAAAGTTTGAATCCAGTCTTTCATTCAAAGCTGTGTCTAATAGTACCAGCAACTTTTCATCTATAAAGAATACTGGGTAATCCTTATTCCAGGAGTAGATCATTTTGTCTTCTGGATGTTAGAATTAAGAGCTTTGAACTAATTTTAACATAATGTCTTCCTATTTCATGTTTTTTCCCCAAATTAAATTTATCTCTTAGTTAACAGTATCAGTTCAGAGATTAATAGTAGATAGTATCACTAAACAGTGATATCAGAAGCAATAAAGCTAATCAAAATAAAATAAGTATCAGAATGAATAGCGAAATGCACGGTGATGACAAGTTATGATAACATGTGTTGTATAGCAGATAAATTGATTCACCAGTCCTTTGACAAGCTATCTTAGATGATTTTACCTGCCTCAGTTGATTGTTGTGGTACTCAGCTGGTTTTTCTGAGTAAGACAAGTTAATCTAATATATAATGTATGAAGAAATCATGGAACAATGTTTCAGCCTGAAAAACTTCAGTGATAACTCATAGGTCTCATTAAATTATTTTTTACACATCCTGTTTTTTAAAATATAGCATTAAAATTGCTATTTTTCATAATTTTGTTTAGAAAAAGAGATAAAAAATGTAACAATTCTGTATATTTTGGAACGATATATTCTTTCTCTTAATGAGAAAGGTACATTTTTTTTCTTAACTTCAGGCCAAATATCATTCATCATAGGCCATTCTATGATATTAATTTCCTATGAAATGCAGATTGAAAACAAAATTCATTAACAGCAAAATTCTATAGATGTCTCTGAAATCAATGCTGTTTAAACATTTTATGTTTAAAATACTTAATGTAAACATATGTAATAAAAAGGCATTAAAAACCCATGTTTGTATCTTATTCTGGATGCTGGTTTGGGTTTTTTGTTATTGTTATTTTTTTGTCCCTTCAAATCAGTATTGACTGACTGCCTGGATTAGTCCTTACATTTTTCTTGCTCATGTTTTTCAGAAGTGGTTTGCTATTGTCTTCTTTCTAGGGTTGACAGAGAACAACTTGCTCATGGTCACCCAGCTGGTTTCATGCCTAAAGTGGAACCAGAATTCAGAGCCTCCTGGTTTTGTAGCCTGATGCTTCAGCCGCTATGCTAAACTGACTGTATTTGCTATGAGGCTGTTTAATAAAAGCTGTTAAATAACTTTTCTGGCTTTCTTTCCTAATAACAGCATACGTGCCAAAATTTAAAACTGATATTTTAAATATAGGCCACAATATATGTAATGTTCTGATAATATTTGGAGATTTATACAATTCCAAATTTTATATAATTTATTACAGAAGTTTTTTTTCATTTTCAAAATGGCATAGAATAACATTCAGATTACAGCCCATTTCTGTCCTAAACATAATTTGTAGGAGTTCTTACTGAAAAAACTAAGATCCAAATAAATATATTTAATCTGTCAGTAATACTGACCAATATATAATTGTCTGGCAGTGATGAAATTCAAATTTTTTAACGGTACTGGTTCTGTAGGCGTGGCTTGGTGGGCGTGGCAGGGGAAAGGATACTGCAAAATCTCCATTCCCTCCCCACTCCTGGGACCAGCCAGAGGTGGTATTTGCCGGTTCTCAGAACTACTCATAATTTCTGCTAGCAGTTCTCCAGAACCTGTAAGAACCTGCTGAATTTATCCCTGGTGTCTGGACATTTTAAAAGTTTATTCCACAATAAATAAAATAAATTTGTTTCTCTGCACATAATTTCTTTTTTATTACATTAAGCGAGTCCAATTAAGAAATAGCTATATGTTAGCAGAGATTCATACACAATTGTCCTTTTGACAAATATTTTAAATTGATGCAGACTTTAATATTGTTAGATGTTAATAGGACAATCTTTAATAACCCCTACCATTAATTTCCGGTGTTCTCTACTGTAAGCATGGCTAAAGCTTTATCCTATACATATATACCTGGGCTTCTTACCCCTTTGAATAGATACATAAGTACCACCCATCCATTGCAAATGTAATTATGTTTATTAAAAGAACCAAATCTGTTAGTGCAACTTCCAGATGGTTTTGAGGGGGCATTTCATGTGGTGGAAGATAATATAAGTGAAGATAGTATGGAAGTTTATTTGAGTAATATTGAGACTAGTCCAGTATTTGGATCCAATCTTGTGTCTATACCTGGTCAGCCTTAATACTTTTTTTAAAAAAATTAAAAGCACATAAGACTGTGTTGTTGTTGTTTTTTTGTTCCTAATATCAGCCACTAAATCAGGAAAAAAGAAATAAAGCTTGTGAATCAGTTTGGAATCAAAGTGAATACAGTTACCCAAGCAGAATAAAATTCTTCTATTGCTGTATTTATGCCATCTTTTCTTCTTTGGAATGCTAATGAATAATCATTGTACTGTCACACAAAAGCCTTGTATCTTAGAGTTAGTTTCCTTAAGTATTGAGACTTTTAAAATGATCCTATCCCACAGGCTTGGTTTAGGTAGGAAAAAACAGTTTGTAGGCTGTATTTCCAACAATATTAAGTTGTTTACTGATCAAATAATTCCTCTTGTTGTTTTGAACTGAGCTGTTAGGCCACACACAATCAATAAATAGTAGAATTTAGCATTATTACCCAATGGATAAGATCTAGCTGTCAAGATTCCCAGACCAGGATATAGCTCTAAGTCTCATAAGTTTCTGCTTTTGTTATTACAAACTAGGATGAAAAGTGTGTACACTACATAGGCAGTTCTATCTTCTGTCCATAACATTCTAGTCCTGTGATGGCAAAACTTTTTTGGTTCCCATGCCAAAATCAGGGGGAGCACAGGGGGGTTGTGCACGGGTGTGCCACACCAATACTGCTATGCACTCGACCACCCTGCGCGCATGCACGCTTGACCATGCTGTCCGCCGCTTTTGGCATGTTTTTTTCCGCTCTCCCCAGTCTCCAGAGGCTTTCTAGGAGCCTGGGGAGGGCAAAAACAGCCTCCCCCACCCTGGATGCCCTCTGGAGGTTTTAGGAGCTTCCCTGAAGCCTCCGGAGGGCGAAAAACGGACCTATGGACAAACTGGGAGTTCAGGAATGGTGACTTCTGGTTTGTACATAGGCCGATTTTCTACCTCCGGAGCCTTCAGGGGCCTTCAGGAGGCTTCCCTGAAGGCTCCGGAGGGCAAAAACGATCCTAGTAGCAAACTGGAAGTCAGTTCCAGAACTTCCGGTTTGCCCATAGGGCTGGTTTTTCGTGCTCCGGAGACTTCAAGAAAGCACCCAGCGGGTGAAAAACGGCTTCAAAAGAAGGCTGAAGTCAGCTGGCCAGTGCTGGCATACGTGATTGCCAGCTGACAGGGCAACACCTTGCATGCCCTTAAAAATGGTTCCGTATGCCAGCTGTGGCATGCTTGCCATAGGTTCGCCATCACGGATCTAGTCCTTTCTCTCTTCTGTCCATGGCATTCTAGGCATTTCTCTTTTCTGCCCATTGCATTTTAAACCCATTGCTTTTCCACGCTACTGAAGGAAAACTTTGGCCTTCTGTTCTTTTTATAAGAACAGAGTACCTTAACAAACAGCATTTTAAAATATGTTTCTTTTGGATCATGAGTACCATTGTTATTGTTACAAGAAACTTTCTTGTTGGGAATACGTGAAGTATGAGTCTCTGTAGTAAGAAGGGGCAACATTTTTTTATTTAAGCTACTTTTAACAGGAAACAAAAATGCTAATGATAGTTCAAGCATCAAGATTCTGGCTCTAGAAAGCAAATCACAGGATTAATCCAAAATACTACTTAAAGGCTATTTGTATTTACTGTTTAAAGGCTATGTAACTTCTTCAGTTAACTAAGAAATTAATGTATGGGATCAAAATCCTAGTCAATGCTCACAATAAATTTATATGCAGTAATAATAATAGTTGTGCGACAGCGAGATGGAAGGCATACAAATTTAATAAATAAATAAAATAATACATGTAGATACAACTGAGTATAATATATTACAGTATATTCATTTATTGACATGGCTGTTGAGGATTTGAAGATAACTTAACCCAAATGGCAGTTTAATTAAATAAAGAGTAGAATAATTACCTCCACGGATAATAAGCCCAATTGGGCTTTTGAATGCATGCACTAAAATAACCCCTCTCCTGAAATTAAGCCCTCCCCAAAAATATTGCATTACAGTAGCAGCCATGAGGTGACCACGCTCCCCACCTCCTGCACCTCAAAAATAATAAGACATCCCCCCAAATAAGGCCAAGTGCTAATTTTGGGGTCAAAAGAAAATAAGATTCTGTCTTATTTTCAGAGAAACACGGTAGTAGTAGGAAGCTAGTGGGATAGCTTTTGCCTTCCTTCCTTTATTCTATAAAATAACTTTGTGTCTAAACAGTTTGCTTGGAATTTGACTTGGATGATTTATGGTGAAAAGTACTGTATGGCTATCACCTATTATCATGTTGTCTTTAATAACTATGCTAGTTTATTACTTCTCTTTCTTTCTTTTTTCTTTCTTCGTGTTTGCTATAGTCTCGGCAAACTCCTGAAGGTGAATTTCTGCCCCTCGATCAACTTGAACTGGATGTAGGTTTTAGCACAGGGGCGGATCAACTTTTTCTTGTGTCACCACTCACAATCTGCCATGTGATTGATTCAAAAAGCCCCTTCTATGATCTTTCTCAGCGAAGCATGCAAACGGAACAGTTTGAGATTGTTGTCATCCTAGAGGGCATTGTGGAAACAACTGGTGAGTACAGTGATTTCATAGCTAATGAAATCATACGTTTGTATTTTGTTTCTGCCACACACACTAAAAAGTAATGTTAATTAATAAAATATATGAAGTCATTTGTGGATACAGTAAATACAATTAGTAGCTATACTGAACATTTGGAAAATGTTTAAGAGAATCTGTGTCTGAATATTTAAGAAATAATGAGTGCTGCTGTTGAATATTGTTTGAGTTGTTATAGGTTGTATTTCTCCCAAATATCTTGAATTGCTGTTGTACCTTATAATCTTTTTGATATTAAACATACATTAAGAAATGACAGAGACATTTAAGTTGATTCACATTACAGGCAGGTGAGATTTGTCTGTCTGCCAAAATCCTACAGAGATTATGAAACCAGGTGCGTGGTATTTCTTGCCTGAGAGTTCATTCTTGAATATAATAATAATTTACCAATAAAGCTGAGGAGGAAATCATACAGTGCTGTAATATATAACGCTAAACTGAAGGAAAACCATGTCATTAAAAATACCTGGTTGGAAATGAATTCAGCTGATATTTGTAGTGTGACATCATTCTTCTGAAATGTTTGCCTTTCTCTTCTCTCCCTTTTCCCCCCAATCCAGAAAAAGGCACACAAAGAGGATTGGTGTATATTTTCTTTATTGTTGACTTTGATGAAGTTAATAGGAACAAAACCTCTATCTGTAAGCATTAACTAGTGTCTTCCCTGTTTCAGTGATGCAAAAGTGTATTCTAGTCAATATTTTGGCTGTTCCCAATATTTATTAAGGTGATCATAGATGAGCACTTCTATAACTTGATAAATATTTTGCTCTGCCTTAAGAGTGTCTATTCATCTTCTAATTCTTGTTAATCCCACTCACCATTCCCAGATTCTGCCATACGCTTGCCCTATTTTTTCTTGGATTGTTATGTTTATGTTGGCAGAATAAATGGAATATCTTCACTTTGACAGTACCTCTGTTTTCCCACCCCCACTCCCCATGTGTGAGAAACTCAGCATTGTGAGAACATTAGAACTGCTTAGTGTAGTTGATTTGTTTTACTTACTCATTTGGAATATGTACATGGCTGCTCATCTTAAGTGAATAAGTCTTCAGGTAGTTAACAATAGTAGAAGAACTAGCATAAAATTAGAACAGAAAATACAATGAAAAGTAATCATAATAAAATAAAGAGCCAAGGGATCTCAAGCAATTCACTGTCCTCGAAACATGCTTATCAGGCTCCACTAGGTCCTAACACCTGAAGAAAAATCCAGATTTTCATGGGCTTCTGGAAAGTCAGCAGAATTGCACCTATTCAGAACTATTGAACAACAGCCACAGGACATGGGCCAGTTTACCTTGAAGCACCACAACCTGCTCCTTCAGAACCTGGAAGTATCAGTCCTCTGCCACATCAAGGGCTACCATTCACAGTTCTCCACCACCATTGTTCTCCAGGCATGTTGGAGAGCAGGATCAGCTGCTACCCTTTCACTGTAGGCAGGTAGCCTTTTATTTAATCTTTATTCACTTACTAACTTTTAAACTTTCTTTTGTGAATTTAGATTCAAATACTTTCATCAATACGTAATCATTTTTGGGAGGAGTCAAATGAATGGAGAAAAAGTATAGGATAAAAAATTATATATAGTGAAAATAAAAGAAACAGAATTCAACTTAAAAGATTTATTAGTTTGAATATTAACAATTGTAGATAGAGAGTTAAAGTCCAGAGTCTTCAGGTAATTAATTAAAACAATTAATTGGATAGTTAATAGAAAAGGGTTTCTACTATAAGCAGACAAAAGCTGATTTCAGGATAATACACAAGTTTCCCATATATCTGGATTTTATTAGATTTATTTCAGAAAAGGAGAATTATGATATAAACAAAAACTTGAATCCTATTGACAGTTTGTTTTATGCATTGTATATTTTTTAGACGAAGGTTCTGAATGTTAAATTTAGGGTTGCTTAATGTAAGCATTCTGTCAAGTACTATGATGGATAAAGCAATGTATTAGTCTCCCTAACTTAAATAAAAAATGTATCCTGCTTGAAGTTTTTTCCCCTTATTTTTGCTAGCAATAAATTTGTTGAAGTTATAATTTCAGATTGAAACTAGGAATGTTTGTGTGTGTGTGTGTGTGTGTATGTGTGTACATATACATATACATATACATATACATACATACATACATACATACATACATACATACATACGTACATACACACACACAACACAAATGTAACAAAAAGGCAACAGTAAAAATATTGGGTTTCTTTCTGGATGGTCTCTTGTGACGAGCCGATGGACAGAGAATGGAAGCAGTAGACTTCCTCCCATGTTTGGGCATACCAGGGGTTGTGACTTTAAATACATACGTGCGTGCATACATATACATACACACATACACACACACACACACACACATATATATATATATAACAAAACAAATAATTCCCCCCTTGATTTCTTTCAAATTGTTAATTGAAATTGTAGGAATTATAAATATGTACAGTAGTTATCAACAATACACTCTCACATGCACAAATATGATAGAGGGATTCAGAGATTGTCACTGGGAATTAAATCTTCCCTTCTTTTGATCTAAACATTAGTGCAGTGTTTAATTTTACCCCATATTATTTGGATATATGTCTACTCAGACATTCACAGATTTCAAAATGATTAAGATTATCATGGATCTTCCTACATAATTGCAATTAACTTGGTCATTGATAGTTAAATATATATTTTGATATCTGATCAAATACCTAATTTTCCCCATCTTCTAATAATTCAACCATACATAGAGCCCGACTTTGCTTTTGTCTCACACTAGATCATATCTAAATCAAAAGAAGCAATCAATGATTTGTTTATGGATTTGGGAGCTACTGATTTGTTTAATGCGAATTTGGCTAGGAAAAGTGGTGGTGCTTCCTGGCTATTCCTACAGTTATTCTGTTGGGGAGCAGCTAAGAAAAGTGTGTGAAGAGGTTGGGTGGCTGTGATCCATCCAATATTACCCTTATTTGGTTGAGTATTTTTTCATTAACTATAATTATCTAATGCATGTATTAAGAATAGGCTGGGTGCTCTATCAATGCATCAAGTACTTTTCAATAGAATTTGTTATGAAGCTGGTCAGATTTTTAAAAAATTTGTTATTAAAATCTATTATAACTGCCCAGCTACAAAGATTATGGAGTTGGCATTGGAGCATCCAGATTTTTGGTGCTACATGTCATCCTTAGGATTTACCTGTAAGGGATGGCTTAACACTATGGCAGGTTTTCTCAGGCATTCATAAATTAGGACATGCAATAACTTGTCCAGGAACAAATCTTTACTGTAGTTTAGGACTTATAGGCATTACAGCCATTTAATAATAATTAAATAATGCAAGGTTGATCCAGAATGGATAATTTCTGATTCAAATTCAATGCCCTCTTCATATGTTTAAGAAACTTGCTGCTCTGTCTTAATCAATTATTAGTATCCATTGCTTGTTTATATTCTTGACATTCATGCTGTGAGAATTTCTTCTCACTATCAGATTCCTTAATCCTTTCCATCCTTAACTCTCTCCTGTACAATCAACATGCTACAAGGCACTGATGCTTTTTGGTTGATTTATTTGGCTAGGCCACTTTAAAGAAGTACTGTACACAATTCACAATGCAAGCATTGGATTACTGAGTGATAGCATATCATTTCCTAGGGAGGAGGTATTCCTATGTGCATACAGCTGCATAGACTGTATGCAGCTTTTATAACTTCCTCTGAAAGGAGAAGATTGGGGGTGGAGTGGGGGATGAAAGCATTAAATGTATCATTAACCTGAAGCTTCCCTCAATGCCCACATTAAACCGAAGCTGCTCTCAGTATCTAGGCAGGCCCAAGTTAAAGCAGTGAACAAAAAGTAAGTGCTATCCTGTCCCAGTTCTTCCTGTATTTCATCAAAAATTTCTTTTTATTGTATTATCAAGCTCTCTCATTTGATCCCAGGTCTTGCATTAAGAATTGGAACTCAGTTGTTCAATTCTGTACCAGTCACTCACCTGATTGAAAACCATAAATTTCAAACTTACTTCTTTACAGAATTTTCAAGGTGGATGTCAGATGTCTAGCAAAATTTGTGCACTTAAGTCTTAAGTCTCTGGCTGAAATTTGTAAGTTGTCTCTGTTGTATCTTCAGTGTCAATCAGGGTTGAAGATGATTGCCATTGGTTGAAATTAAAGGAGGGTTCTGGTGGGAAAAGGTCATGTTCTAATTGGTTGCTGGTTTGACAGCCACCTGTATAAATAGCTGTCAAACCGGCAGGCTTTGTTCTGTTCTCCTAGTTGTGTTGATTAAAGCGGTTCAGGTTTCAGTGATCACTCGCCTCAGTCATTTGTCCCTTCACAGGCAATACATAAAAGTCTCTTCATCGAGAATCCCTTTTTGGCCAGAATGGTAGAGAAATCGTCAGGTTGTAGTGACACCTGCTTCTCTGTTTGAGGCATGGAAACAGTACATGTGTTCATCAATTTATCATATCTTTCTGGCAACTAAGCAGGTAGATGACACATAGACATAGCTATTCCTCCCTAATAATCATTGAATGTAACATTGTTAGGTTCCCCAAGACATTAGCAGGTTAGCTAGGAATTAATCTTTGATGTATTTTAGGAACACTGCTAATTACAAACAGTTTAAACTCACTAAGTTCATAACAATTACCCAGAGAAATAACACTTATCCACTTTTTTTTCTACACATCTAGCACCATTTCTTTCTGTGTTGCCTTTGTGCAATGGATTCTCTACTTTTTGTTCTCACAATCAGATTTCCCTAGCAGTTGCATGTCTACATCCTCCACATTCTTGCTCTTGTCACTAATAATCTCCAGAAAGATGGCCCCATCTCGGACAGGTTATTGGCTGTAGTAGGCTTCTAAATCATCCTGAAAAGTTTTATAGTTTGATCCATTGGTCAATATAAGTGGACACAATAT